TAATGAAGAATCTTTTGTGGTGGAGAGGGCTGAGCAATGCCCCATAGTGACCTGACGGAACCTGGTTTCAGGACTAATTGCAACTCTCAGCCCTTAATTCTTACTCAAGGAGAACACCCAGAAGCATACTGGATATTCTATAGGAGAAAGAACACTTCTGTTTTCTAAGAAGCTGAACTTCCTTTTGATTTGGTATTCTTGAAGCTTGTTTTTACTTTTCTCTGAATAACTATAAAGTTTACTCAAAAGCCTCATGATGAACACTAAATATTTTTTATGAATAGACTTTTAAAAAATTAAAAAAAAAACCCTTTCACATGTAATATATCTTATTTTGAGGAGAAAAAAAACTGCATAAAAGAACAGTCTATCACAGTCAATCCCATTTGCTTATGGGGTATATACACTCCCATGCAAACAGGATGTTTGCCCAAATTAAAGCTGAAAACCACAGTTCACTAATTTTGAATTAACTGCTTTGTTTTCTGTGGTTGGTGCCATAATGTATCCAATGACTTCAACTAGAAAATAAATTCCATGGTGTCCTATAGTGAATTAGGTAGTAAGTTGGGAATATCTGGAGTCTTTCTAGAACAAGATAGACAAATATTAGGGAGCTCTTTAGGCTAGAAAACTTTGCCAAACTGAGGATCAGAAACCAAAAGAATTGCAAATCACTCTTAGGAGAGCATTGTAAAATGAACCAAAAGTATGTAAAACCTGTGTCATTCAGAGAATCACTTGACAAACTTTAATGAACACTTGCTCTGTGCCTAGCAGTAAGATGATGAATAAGCCGTGGTCAATGCTCAGGACTGGATTGTAATTAAATAACAGATATGGAAATGCTACAAAGAAGAAGTGGAAGATAGAAAGGCTACTAAATTATTCCAGAAAAATAGAATTATACCTTCTGGACAGGTGTTTGTAGAAGGGGATGACCTTACAAAGTGAACCAAACCTGTTATAAGTAGGTGATGTATAGCTCCAGGCAGTTTCATGAAGTCTCAGTGCAATGGGCCCTTAGAGTCTTGTCTGGGGAGTGGGGAACTGGATTGCAGGCCAACTCAGTGGGTGCAGAAAAGCATTGTGGGAGTAGCTCTAGGGCCCTCTCATGTGCTGCTGCTTTGAAAACAGCCAGTGAATGAGTTCCATTTTGGATCTTGGTCCTGAATTGAACAAATAGCAGAAACCTATGACCGCAGCTCAGAGGGACAGTATCTGTGCCCAGGAGACTGGACAGTCATGGCTCCAGTTATTCTGGCCTTTGGAGAAAATCAGTTGTTTTATAACTGGACTTCTCTCTTAAGTGATTTTAAAAAGACAAAACAAAGAAATAATTTGTTGTTGTTGTGGCCAAAAGGGCTCTGATTAAAGAACGGGGATGTTGTAACATACACTGACGAAAGCCAGGGAGTTGGAACAGGAGCTAAGAGCCACATTATCAACTCCAGTTTGGACTTGCTCCCGAATAGCAGGCTAATGTTGGAGGGATGGTGACAGTTCACTATTTTAAATTTAGAACTTAATTAACATTTTTTCTTTTAAACTTTTATGTTTTGGTACAGGGTCTTGCTACACAGCTCAGATTCCGTGATCCTCCTGTCTCAGCCTCCCCAGTGCTGGGGTTATACACATGTGCTACCATGCCTGGTTTCAGGGCCAGCATGGCATGCAGTACCAGGGACCGAACCTGGGTCCTTGCATTTGCCAGGCAGGCGCGTAGACCACCAAGCTATCTCCCCAGCTGTCTAAAACTTAATTGTCTTAGTCTGATATTAGTCTGAAGGTTGAATAGTCATACTCATCAGAGGTTGTCCATTAGAAAACATAGATTGTACACTCCTTTTGACTTTGAAAGATGATGGCTCTTAATAATCACACTAGTTTGTCCAGTTTCTTGAGCAAGAATTATGAAGTTAACACTGGTGTTCAGGAGAGATTGGATAAAATCTGTACTTCATGGCTGTGTTCTTAGGTCCAGAAAACCGTAGGAATGGGACAGAAGAAGCCTCAAGAATCAGGTCAGCTTGTCTTGATGGCCTGGGGAGGGAGACTGTAAATTTGAAACAGCCCTCATTGAGGGGGAAATCCTGCCTGGTTGCAATACTTCTCATGGCCTCCTGGCTGAAACACCATGGCTTTGCTAGCCAAATTTGGCTTCAGGCCGCCTGCCTGCCTTCTTGCAGCACACTGGTGAGCATCTGCACTGTGGAGCCTTGGAAGGCCACACAGGAGATTGTTTTGCACGCCCCTTTTAAAAATGCCCTTTGCTGTCTCCCCTCATGCTTTTCTTTTGCTCTCTGCCCTATCTTCTCTCAACACTTGGGCCTTGACTGGCTTTGTTCACACCATTCATTTCTCTCCCTCTCTCTGTGCTTGGTTGGTTTATGTCAGTATTCTCACTTCCTTATCAATGTATTTATCATTTATTTTTGTCTTCCTTCATCTGATCTTTCCCTTTTTGAGCCATATGTAGCTCTAGATCCACTCACAGTAACTCATTGTTGTTAATTTATTCAACATACCTATGGCATTTATTACTGTAATTATTCGCACATACTTATTGCACATACTTCAGCTCATTTGTTTGCTTGCCTTTTTCCTTTCCTTTCCTTTCTTCTTTATTTTATTTGTTTGTTTATTTATTTGAGGTGGGATCTCTGTTTCACAAGCTGGTCTTGAACTCCTGAGCTTACGCCATCCTTCTGCTTTATCTTCTCTCATGCTGGGACCAGATGATTTTAAAATTTTATAGACATACACATAGAAACATACACACACACATCACTAAGGCGAATGCTGTTTCACCATTTAAAAAGTAGAAAAGCCTATAGCATGGCTTAAAGGATGATGTTCGGAATATATGTGCTCAGTTTAAGATAAGAATAAGTGAGACGTTGAGGAATCATGTGAGTCATTTGACCTGCCTGGTCTGGTCATTTGGTCTATCGGTAATTTTTCTGCATACATAGTTCTCAGATTGCTTTTACTTTTACATCAAATTTGATCTGCACCAACTTACCCCCCCCGGGGGGGTAATTGTATCTTTACTTACGCACAGTCATTTATCAAGAAGTAAAGCGACTTTGTCAAAGTCAGATAGCAAGGTATTGTGCCAGGACTACAACCAGAAACTCCATCTGTGCTGCTCCCACTGCTCTTCCCGTTACATCTTTTCCTCTGACTCCTGCTTTCTGGTCTCCCTCACACATCTCTTTTTCCTGTATATAGTGACAATGAAAATCTCATGTTGTCAAATTCAAGAAGGAATACATTTTTTTTCCATTCTATGTATTTGTTACAGGGTCTCACTATGCAGCTTGGACTCATAGTGATCCTCCTGTTTTCATCCTCCCCAGCACTGGGATTACAGGCATGCACCACCATGCTCAGACTCTGTTGCCTGCTCAGTGCACCCCAGGGCCAGTGCCAGTGCAGCATGTGGGGCCAGGGATCAAACCCTGGTCCCTGTGCTTGCTAAAGCAGGCATTTAGTCCACTGAGCTATCTTGCCAGCCCAGAAATACATTTTTGATCATAATGCAAAGTCTGGTATAGTTAGTGTCAGAAGCTTGGCAAAATATTCTAATGAGAGTCCATGTACAGGTCCTGGCTGGGTCTCATTTGGGCTACTGGTGCACACAGTGGCACGTACTTGTACCGCCAGTGCTCTGAGAAACTGAGGCAGAAGGACTGCAAATTCCAGGCCAGCCTGATCAGTCTAGCAACTTAGTGAAATCTTGTCTCAATGAATGAATGAATGAATGAATGAATGAATGAATGAATGAATCAATCAATCAATCAATCAATCAATCAATCAAGGTTATGGATGTCACTTAGTAGGAAGACCCTAGATTTAATCTTCAGTACCAGAATGAACAAAAATTCTTGGCTACTTTGTGGTATGATCTTGGGATTATTCACACCTTAAGGCTGGAAGGATAAGGAAAATAATTCCTAGAGGCACTGTGAGATATCAGGGGATACTTTACATAAAGTGTTTAACTAAGCTCCTCATCAAATGCTTTACTTCACTCACTGTTTGGTTTTCCTCTCTCCCCTTCTCTGCTTCCCTTCTTCAGTATGAGCCGCACCGCCTACACTGTGGGAGCCCTTCTTCTCCTCTTGGGGACCCTGCTGCCAGCTACTGAAGGGAAAAAGAAAGGGTCCCAAGGGGCCATCCCCCCTCCAGACAAGGCCCAGCACAACGACTCGGAGCAGACTCAGTCACCTCAGCAGCCCGGCTCCAGAAACCGGGGGCGAGGCCAAGGAAGGGGCACAGCCATGCCTGGAGAGGAGGTGCTGGAGTCCAGCCAGGAGGCCCTGCATGTCACTGAACGTAAATACCTAAAGCGAGACTGGTGCAAGACGCAGCCACTGAAGCAGACCATCCACGAGGAGGGCTGCAACAGCCGCACCATCATCAACCGCTTCTGCTACGGCCAGTGCAACTCCTTCTACATCCCCAGGCACATTCGGAAAGAGGAGGGCTCCTTTCAGTCCTGCTCCTTCTGCAAACCCAAGAAATTCACCACCATGATGGTCACACTCAGTTGCCCGGAACTGCAGCCTCCCAGCAAGAAGAAGAGGGTCACACGCGTGAAGCAGTGCCGCTGCATATCTATCGATTTGGATTAAAGGAACACACCCACCTTGTCCTGGGAATACAGCTCAGGGCAGCCTAGAGCCAGACCCAAACACCCTGATTCCTACTCTGCTTAAACCTAGAAGCCAGAAGAACCAGCAGCTGCCTCATGGCAGCAGTCTGATTGTGCATAGTCGTGTATGTGTGTGCCTGTGTGCATGCATGCGTGTGTATGGGTGTCTTCAGACATCAGAGGACATAGTCTCTAAGAGAGGGCACTCTGTTATACTTTGCTTCACAGCAGGAGGGTGGAAATACCCACAGTGACCCTGTCCACACACACAGGGGCAGGGCTGTGGTTGGATCTGTTCTTGTCTTTCCTGTGCCCTCCTGGGGACAGGATTTTCTTTCAGAATGAATGTCAATAGCACAGGCCACTCAGAGGGCAAGGGACCTGAGTTCCTGCTGCATTCAATTCAGAAACTCTAATTTGTGCCCACTTTCTCCCTTCGTCTTTCCTCCCATGGTCCATCCTCAGGTTCTCAGTGGTCATTCTGTCTCATCCCAATTCTCCTGGAGTTCCTACACTAATTTACTTGACTGTGGATGTGATGTTTCCTTTTTATGGTGACCCTCTATGCTGGGAATGGGGGCTGAGATGTGATGAGGGACAAGCAAGACAGATGTGGGACAATGGCTGTGTCTGACTCAATTGAGGAACAGGAAAATTGAGTGGGGAGGATTCCGAGAATTGTGAGGCGACTGCAAAGCATGGTGGTCCCACGCTTCAGTGAAAGGCTCTGCCTGATATTTAAGAGAACCCAAGTGAGTAGACCAAGTTGCTCCAAGTCACTGAATTTAGCTGTCCCTGATCCCTTGAAAGGAACTGTCATCCAACACTAATATTAAAACTTAAACATTGACCACTCTTATTTTTAGACCCAAGTAATGAATAAACCAAAAGAGCTCCTCCTCTACACAGAGATAAAGAAACAAGAACCTCATGAACTGAGATCCTAGTATCTTTCTTTTTTCTTGGTTATAATCACCATATTCTCAGTTCATTATTTCTGCATAACCCTTCTGAGAGCCACAACCATGTATCATAAAACATTTTTGCTGAGTGTACCTGACAGTAAAGGCTAGTCTGAGGGGAGAGGTTCATCTGACCTATTCTAGCTAGAAGTTGATTTGGGTCATTTTGTTTTAGCTATTGCTTGACTAATCCTGAGGAAAGAGAGAGTTAGGAAGTAGTGAGGATTCCATCTCACTAAATAGTGGCTGTCTCTTAAAATCTGGAATAAGATATGAAGATGTGATTTCCCTTTCTCCCTTTGCTCTTTGAGGGTCTGCAGGGAAATCCTATTGAGAACACAGAGCATTGGGTGTGTCAGCTGTCCAAATTCATCCCAGGGAATCCAAGTGACATTGCACCTAATCCATGCAGACTGGAGGTGCTGTCCTTTGATTAAACTTGGGCTGCTTGCTGTCCTTCCTTAGAACTGATCTAATGGCCAAAGTGCAGGGTGAGTGAGCCTTATTGCACTCTGGATTTGGCTGAACCATCTCTTCAAACCTGAGGCTCTATATGTAAATGCTTCAAACACTCTTTTTGTCTTCATCTTCTCAGCTTCACTAGCCAAGTCATGGGTCACTGGGAAAACAAATGCCCCAGATCTAGACCTCATTCGCCCATCAAGGCTCCAGCGTTCAAAGAACCATTGCAATTACTATTTTTCTTTTTGTTTTTGTTTTGGTCTAGTGCTCTCTCACTGACAACTAAACAGGAACCATGCTTAAGACAGAAGTTATCTTGAACACCCCCCAAATGGGTCTCTTTTAGGAGGATTCTTTTTTTTTTTTTTTTTTTTGGCTGGCTCCTGCTGCCTTAAGGGTGGATCAAATCGCGGTTCCCTGTGCCTGACTGAGTTTGCCCAAGCAGGAGTTTAAACAAGTGAGCTAACCCACAAGCCCCCCACAATGAATCTCTTTTAAAAACTTTGAAATTCACTACTGATGATTCTATAGGTGAGTTGTGAAACACACAGGCTGTGCATTGTGTATACACTGTATGACGCTGCCCTGAATCTTTGTATCACCCACACCCTCCAGCAACAAAGCACAGGATGGATTTAATTAAGCATGCAAATGTGAAGCCAGAATTTTGAGGGTAGGGGAGAGAGGAAGAAAGGAGAAGCTGAAAAAATAAAAACCACACCAGAGAAGAAAAATGATGTTCAGAATCATCCAACATTGAGTTTGTCTTCTTTTAATTCTGCCACCAGTGTGCAGCTTTGTTAAAGAGCGGTGGTGGAAGCTGGCAGGAGCAATGTGCTCTTAGGAGCTTGTACGATGGCTGTGCATTAAGTCAGAGTCAGCCGCAGGGTAGAGAATTGCTACAAAATTAACTTCACCGGAATAATCAGTAGCATAAAAATCCCAAAAGCACAGCACCAGCCAAAGAGAGAAATGTCTGCTTTCTTACTATGCCTATTTTAAGGCTAGAGCAGGTGTGGTGTGTCTTGGGACTTCGATTGAAAATGCCACACTGTTGCTTCCTTTACTGGAGTCACTGATGAGGTAATAGAAGGTGTATTTTTTCATTGTTACAGTAGAATTTGTTAATGGCAAGATACATGCAATCTTGTCCTTACCTATTAAAATAAGGCCAAATACCCAATATTAATTCTAGGATGTACACTTTGTGCTTGGCATTAAAAGAGAAAAACACATCCTGTAATCTGTAAGTCATCTTTTGTTACTGTAGTGATTCAAAGTTAAAAGTTGTAATGAAAAATCTGGAGGAAAGGATAATTTCCACTGTGTGGAATGTGAATAGTTAAACAAAATTATGGTTATTTAATGTAATTATTGATTCGAATCTTTTGGTCACTGTGATTTCAAGCATTTTTTTCTTCCTATATATTACTTCTTCTGAAGTGGACAAAGAAGAAGCTGGCACGTTGTATCTCGCTGGAGACTTTGGTCAGGTCAGAAGGAATCACAGTCGCGACACACACAGAGATGTGCTAGAGGGAAGAACTGAGCATTTGTTTCTTTTAATTGAATGTTCCTTAGAGTCCACATTTTAAAGCAATACTCAGAGAGACTTTAAGTGTTGTTTGGGAGACTTATGGTGTGTACGAGAGCAGATGATGGTGGACAGTTCATCAATAGAGTCCCGTAAGGAGGAAAAGGAAAGTGAAAAACGCACGGACAGACTTTGCTACATGACCAGTTGATGCTTACAAGTGAAAGTAGTTCTATTCATTTGTCATTCCACAAGATATTTAATATCATCTGCATTGTATGTTATGTTTGCTTTAATCATTTAAAAAGAACAAAAGATTATATACACTATGATCTAAATACCTTATTGTGTACAAGGGTGAATGGGGATTTAATAGTTCATAAAAGCTAATTTGGCATAAAGTTTTATGAATCTGTAACTACAATTTAATTTCACCCCAATAACATTTGTATAACCTTTTGCCAAAGAGTTACCAATAAATTAAGCCTCTTCTTGATGCATGTTTCTGCTTTATCTTGTGGGAAGGGAAGTGGAAGTGATATCCTATTAGATTTTAACAGGATAGCTTTGGCTGTGGCAATTAGAGGCAAAGGGATGGGTCTGCACTGGAAAAGCCAGCTGCAGCCCAGGGTACAGTGGAAGGGAGAGCTAGAGGGAGCGAGGAGGGAGTACTGGTTCTGAGATGCTGACATTGGCATCTGCAGAAACCTTTTAAATATTCTACACATCATTTCAGAACTATTTTTCCTACTATACAATTGAAGCTGTGGAGTTTTGATCTCTGTTCCCACTTGGCCATACAATGTTATGAAGTATGGGTACTCTGACAAGAAAAACCCAGTGATTATGTGTGAAGTGCTCATGTAGCACACTGTGATAAGGGTTTACTTGGACTTTTTTTTCATGTCAGCCTCAGGATAATTCACTGAAGTAGGTACCATTATTATCACGGTTAGGGAGCAATGAATTGAAATGGTCTTATGCAGCACCAGGGCCCCGATGTACTATGGAAAACTGTAAGATTTCTCAACCTGTATTGGTTTGTTCTTTTAAGGAGAAGTTTTTAAGGGGAGGTTTATTTTTTGGTTTTGATGTCGAGGACTGAACCCAACGTTTTACTGCTAAGCCAAATCCCCAGCCAAATCCCCCGCTCCCTGTTCTTTTAAGGACAGAAAGCATTATCCACAATAGAATAATAGGATAAATTTGAGTCATTTGTAATGAAATGAATGTACGTTGAGTCCATCATGTTAAGTAAAATAAATGAGACATGTTTAAATGTTATATAGTTTCTCTTGTATGATAAAAACATGATATAAATCATTTAAAGACCAAAGCAAAATGCAGATAATAGGAAACATGGAGATGTATCTTTTGCAAGTGAAATGGGGATTCAGAGATGGGTGGAAAGGGTAGGGAGGGGAGAGGAAGGGGGAATAAAAAGGATTAAGATGTTTTATGTACAAATACCAACTTCCACAATGAAAATAATTATTACGTATGGCAAATACATACCCAAAATGATGGACAATAGACCTGTAACAATAGACTACTGAGTATTCACATCAAATGACCAGAGCTGGAAGTTTCCTCCCAGGTATTCCATTGAGCTGTCTATTTAGCCTATTGCTGTCCCCAGCTGATAGCCATTAAGTGAGACACTCACACAGACAGCTACCTGTAGTTATTTCAAGAAGTTTTTCACACCGAGGAAATTTAATTGGATCAAATAAACATTCTCACTGTTCTTGCAACTATTCAGTCCTTTCCTTGAATAATTCCTCCCTAAATTGGTATAGGCATTCAAAAAGGAAGGCTGAATTTATTTTTACCAAGCTCTCCATAGGTTTGCAGGAAAAATTTTCAAAGCTAGGTCTTCACTCAAAATTTTTCTACATGTCATCTTCCTACATGCCTGTTCAGTTTGGCTTGGCACTTGAGGCCGGGTACCTCCTGTGTCAAGCCGCACTTGCCTTTCAGTCCTTATTCAGATGCTCTTTACTGGGCATGGTTTTTCCAAGGCCATTGTCTCTTTGTTATTTTCCTCCACTTTTCCCCTCCCAATTCAAGGAGGCCATAATAAAAAGGGAAGTGGCAAAGAGACTTTGCCTGAATGGTTCTGGAGCTTGGGCTCCTAGGCTTAAATAATCTTCCAGCCTTGATCTCCCAAGTGTCTGGCACTCCAGGTGCTGGCCAATACAATATGCCTGACAAAGAAGCCATTTCTAAGTAACTAAAGGAAAGTAGGAGAATATGCCTACTTGTGAATACCAACAAAACGATAGGAATTATATAAAAGAACCAAACAGAAATTGTAGTCAATGAACTTTGAAATGTAAAATCTAAAATAAAAAATTCATGTACAGGAGTTCAATGGTGGATTTGACTAAGTAGAAGAAAACTGATACACTGAAAGGAGAGGGAAGGGAAGAATGTAGGTTTGTGTGTATGTGTGTGAGTGCACATGAGCGCGCATGGGCAAGAGAGCTCTACTGTAATCAGAAGTGAGCAGACAGCACTACCGAACTATAGAGATAAAATTATAAAGGAATATTATTAAGGACAATATAGCAACACAGTAGATGAAATAGACAAATTCTTAGTGTAACAGGGATTTTGGTTTTATTGTTTGATGTTTGCTAGTGACATATTTTAAGCCTCATCCTTCCCTCCCCTTCCTCCCCCTGCACAGGCAAACTCATAAGGAAGCCCAGATTTGTTCACCTGGTGCTGATGGGATAATCAAACCATGCAAGCCCTTGCCCACATGGGGATCTTTATCTAAGCTTCCTAGTTCTCTTTCCTTGCTCTGTCAAGCTATTTTCAGAGGAGGCCAACAGTTATTCTCTACCCTCAACAGCAAGCCTCATTATGTGAATAATAACCTTTTTGGGTTGTACAGCAGCATCAGTTTGAAGGTCTGAGCCAAATTTGGATTGGGGCCCATATTATTTATTCAGGCATGTACAACATCTTTAAATTCTGAACTTACCAAAAGTGACTTAAAAGCATAAATACCGCAACAGCAGTACCATAAGTTAAAGAAGTTGAATGAGAAATTTTAAAAAGAGGCCGGGGAGATGCCTCAGTGGAATAAGTGCTTCCCTGGCAAGCGCAAGGGCCTGAGTTCAATCCCTGGTTCTGAAAAAAAAAAAAAAAAAAAGAAAGGAAGAAAGAAAGAAAATTTTAAAAAAGCTCTATAAGACACAGCCCAAAGAAGGATATTTTCACAGGTCCTATCAAATATTTAAAGAAGTTTATACAAATTCATCACTAACTCTTCCCCCCCAATAAAGGAAGTGCTAACACTTGACTTCATGCTGTAAGATCAGCATTACCCTGATGCGAAATCCAGATAAATGCATCACAAAATAGAACTACTGCTAACGTTTCTTATGAATGTAGATGTGAACACCCTCAACAAAATGCCTACTGATACAACTATCAGTAGGTTAAGAAACAGAAATTACAGCCCTTCTCAAAGCTCTCTTTACGCCTCATCTCCATGTCAACACTTTCCTGCATGATAGTAGTAATCAATCTTTTACATTATAAAGTAATTAACCTTTTCCATGTTCTTATAATCTCATCAATACAGCAAATATCTCTACCCCAAACTCAACAGTTTGATTTATCTGAGAAAAAAAATAAAGGTTTAGATTAAGGAAGCCCAAAGCTCTGCCTATCGTAGAGAAGAAGGTTACCAGTAACCACTTGCTGTTGTTACACATACTAGTTTATTGAGCAGAGGTCAAATACTGCATAGCAGGGCACGTAATACCAGCCAGGTTGTCGATTAGGAAACCCTTAAATTTCCTTTTATGAATTTGTCTATTTCATCTACTGTGTTGCTATAT